GCTTCTCTGGCCTCAGCTCTGAGCTCCAACCCCTCCCATCTGAGAGAGCTGGACCTGAGCTACAATCATCCAGGAGACTCAGGAGTGAAGCAGGCGTTTGCTGGACTGGAGGATCCACAGTGGAGACTGGACACTCTCAGGTATAAACAGACAACCAGAGCTCACACAGTGTTTCTGTCACACTGACAATCTGAGGACTGTTGGTTCACAGTCTTTACCAGCAGCACTGCTGATAACAGCTTAGGCTGTGGCTCACTAATCAGAAGGTGGGCAGCTCGATTCCCAGCTCCTCCTGCTGCATGTCGAAGTGTCCTTGAGCAAGATACTGAACCCAAAATTGCTCCCAAAGTGAAGTGACCACTGATTTTGTATAAATGTTAGTTTCTGTTTGTGACGGGTCATCATTCTATGTTGTGGTAAAAGCACTTTGATGATCAGAAGACTAGACTATGCAAGTACAGTCCATTTACCATATCAGACCATGATCTGGTGTTGATCATTCAAAGATTTATAAACCAGACTACAAACTTATCAAGAGGTTGAGTTCTTTTCTGGAGCTTTCAGTCACCTTACATGGTCTTCATCAGTAGATGGAGTTTTCCCAGTTGTCAAGTTGCAGTTGACGCTCAAAGTTCATTCTTGATCGTTTGATATATTTTCCACGTCACAGTCACATTCTGTTAGCTAAATTAAATGTCAGGTCTCTGAAAGGAAATTTGTTTTTATTAAATTATTTAATCACAGTTTTTGTTTCTAACTGAAACTTGCAGTTATGGCATATTGTGTGTATGTGTGTCAGTGTGTTTTTAACAATCTTGTACTTTGTCCTTACAGTCTGCTCGGTTCTGCAGTAAGTTTATATGTTATATCACAGCAGTCTCAGCCAAGACTACTCAGCCACAACATTTAAAATACCACTGCAATAATATTTCAATCAGGAGAGACAAATGAAGGAAGTAAAGATCATATTTATTGTAACAGATAGTACTAAAATTAAACTTCACAGAAAGTCTTTTATCTTTTTTATTGATGAGCATCTGCCCTGAGCAGCAGGCCCACGTGCCACCAGAAGGCCATGATGGCTTAAATGTCTCATCCAAGCGTGGCCAGGACAGTAGCAGAGCTTAGGAGGGACTTCACATTTTCAAACTCAATTTAGCAATAAGGGGACCACACAAATTTAGACTGCTGTTTAACAGATCTGTCAGGGGCACAACTACTGTAGAAAAGCCTTTACAGAAATTACAGTAGTATCCTATCAAACCCAAAGAACACATCAGCTCTTTCTTTATAGTGGGAACAGGGAACTGCACAACAGCTCTGCACAACTAGGCAAACCTGCTTCTGTCAGACCACCTAGCTGAGGTACATCACGATCGCCTTGGCAAACTCAACCAAATTGATAGTGAGGCATGCCTCAGCATGATGAATGTGGAAATATCCCTTTAATAAGTCAAATTTACTCACAAATTTTGCTGCATTGACCTGGTCTATGCAATTTTCCATTTGCGGATACGAATTTCGCTTGGTTAACTTTTGTTAAGATTTACCCATCAGCAAACTAGCTAATTTAGGATGACGGGACCGCAATATTATTGTCCAACATGTACTCCACCTCAGACTCCATCACTTCATGTTTGTGTGGTACATACCTCTAGGAACTGTTTAATTGGTGCACTTTTCCACATGAATATCATGTTCGACTAAATGTGTGCGCAATGGTGTGTCATCATACAGAGCTGGAGAGTTTTTCCATTGGGGCGCTCTAACATCTACCCACTTGTCCAACCCTCATCTAGAGCCACCAGACCTGAGGACATAGAATAAACGATGACATTTGAACTTTGAACACTGGAACCAAGTGAAATAGGACAGAGGCGGGATAATAGTCTCTCTCTTCTCCCTCCCTCTTGTATTGCCTCCCATGCTGACAACTTCAACCACAGCAGTCCCTCTTCCCAGTCTCCCATTATCTCTGTATAATAAGCATGCAAGAGCAACTTTGATAGAAGCGTTCCAGCGATGTCTGGCTATGTGCATGACATGGTAAGGGTAAATGCACATGTACTTGTATAGCGCCTTTCTAGTCTTCCGACCACTGAAAGCTTTTACACTATATGCCACATTCGCCCATTCACACAGTGATGGCAAACTCCATCGAACAGAAACTACCTCATTCGTGCACAGCATCAGGAGCAATTCGGGTCAATTGCTGTACATATGTTCACTCTTTGATACCAAATTCACTCAGTGTCAAAGGCACATTCCAAACTGTTAGGCAGCGAGTTCATGAAGCTAGGTCAGATAACACTTGAGGAACACTGTTGCTTCACCTTGTCAACCTCAAAGTATATGACACTGTATGTACTATACTTAACTGCAAGTTACATTATGTTAACTTGGGCTTGGAATTGGAAAGTGTTTATATATGTGAATGCATGTGTGTGCATGCAAATATCAGTGTGTGTGTGTGTGTGTGTTGCATGTGTTTAAGTGTCTGCATATATGTGTGTGTATATGTTCCAGTCCATGTGCCATCTGCTGATCACATCACCTGTCTGTGTGACATCATCTCCAGTCAAATCCTGTCTTTTCCCATCACACCTGCAACCTGATATGCTCACACATACTCACCATGAAGCTCGCTACACCCAAAATAAATCCCCATCCCAATTAATGTGATGAATCTGCGTTTAATAGTGCTGAAACAAGGCAGTCGGCCTGTGAAGCTCCAGTGGAAATGAGACCGAGGGGTCAGAGCCAAATCCAGCGCCTGAACCTCTCTGTTGGCCATGCTGAGCTAGCAGCCAACAGCTGTTTGCTTGGCAGAAACTCAACATTAAACACTGACATATATGTACAGGCTGCTAAGCCCAGAATTGCTCTCTGTCATTTTTCAGACTCTAAGCAACAGCCATAAGGCAGTATCCACATAGGAGAATAATTATTTTTTTTAAAAAGGAAGTAAACAAGAAAATATCTCCAGGGTGAATTCTGTAATTGGTTTTCAGTCTGAATTTGTGCATAATTCAAGTCATTTCACTGTAGCTCTTACTTTCCAACATGTTGTACCATGCCCTCAGGTCAAGAAAATAAATGATTATGCCAAGCAAGAGATGTAACTTATTTTAGCACAGGCTGTGAAGAAAAGCAAAATTTGCTAGTGCCGAAGAGGAAAAATGAAAGAGAAAGGAGGAATCTGCCCAAACGGTAGAACTAGGAGAGCAACATTTAAACTAAGGGACGTAAACCAGAAATGACAGCGCCGTGTGGTGGATGTCAGACACCCAAATAACAAAAAACACTGTATAATGAATTATGAAAAGCAATCATATATATTTATACAGAAAGCATGGCAAGATGTATCACAAAATGTGTAACCGATTTAGACCTACTATAGACTTCTTATCTGCTTTTTTCCATCTCTGCAAATGAACGAATGCCTCACATGCTACATTCATGCTATTACAAAACAATGATGAGCCATTGCCTGGGAAACAAGGTTTTTATGTCCAAAGCATAGGCAGAAGCCCCTAGAGGCTGCATTGTTCACTACACCAGTGGTTTTCAAACTAGGTTTGTAGAGATCCCCAACAAAAGAATAAAATATAATATTTGAACTTTTAACAGATTTCACTGATTTATACTGATTTCAGGCTGTCAATCTGTACACCTGGAGGAAAAAAAAGCCTTTTAATTAATTCTGGCATATTTACAGCAGTGTTTATTGATATGCACTGTCCCTGAGAGAGAAATAAATAAATAAACTAAAGTAAATTTTTTGGAAGTTGGAACAACAAGGTAAGAATTAGGGTTTTCCTGTTTTTATTTATTGTAATTTATAGTGATCCTGGTTTGATCACTGATTAGACCCTAGTAGACTGTATAATTTTAAAACATAACTTTTTAAACATACTCTCCTTTCAAATAGGGTGTCCGTGGTTCCCAACCTTTTTCCTTTAGGGTCCCATTTTCTATCATTGAGTAAACTGACATATTTTATGCATATTTCATATTATATCCATATTAGTTCATGCATAACAATAACAGTAGAGAACAGCTGATAAACTGTACAATGAACCCAAACAGTGAACATGGATGGAGTATTTCATTAAAGATTTTCCTGATATTTTTAAGGAACTTTTAAACAATCATACATACTTGACAGGCTTTTTTGGCAAATTCTGTGTTTTCTTCTCATTGTGCTGCCTTCTTTTTTAATGCAGGATAAGGCCTTTTATCAGAGTGAAGGTTCTATGAATATAGCTTGTGTTCAGATCTTCAAAGTTTATATCTTAGATAATATTTTAAACTTTAAAACTAATAATTTTATTTAGTTCACAGACATGAACAAAATGCTGAGATATAGGCCTACTGTGTAGTATTATTTTTAAAGTTTTCCCCTTATGAAATGAAGAAGGCCTAGCAACCCCTTGTGAAGCTTTAGTGGTCCCTAGTGGGGGTCTCAACCACCAAGTTGTGAACCACTGGTCTATTGTGCATCTATTGTGGAAGGAATGGAAGGATCAGGTTTAATCCTCTGTGGAGCATGAACATGTTCATATGTTAATGGTTAATGGTTAATGGTGGTACATGACGAAAGGTTAGGGGTCACTGATACATGAAGGATTAATCCTCTGGGGACCTCCACAGTGGAAATGTAACTATCCAATGTACAGACATATCAGACTGACATATGGGTGTGTGTCTGTGTGTGTGTATCCTTTCCCAGGAGGTACAACGGTGCACTGTTGATATGAAGATCACATCAGAGCACTCCAACCACCCTGACAACAAGCACAAGAACAGATACATCAACATAGTGGCCTGTGAGTACACACATACCCTGTACTGTCTTCTTCATATAGTACACTTTTAATTTAAACTGCTGCAGTTAATGTCAGGCAAAATATATTTTGTATTTACACACTGTGTATTATCCCAGGTGTCAGTTTTTTGGTACATACTGAACCTATGTTTTGTTACTGTCAAACATATTTTTATTAACATAAGTTATTACATATGTCTCAACCAATGCTAATTCTATACTTTTGTCTGGCAGGTTTAATTTAATTTCCATTTGTTCAGCATATGCATATATGTCAATTTTTATACACCTATAGTGTATAATGCAATCAGAGTAACAAGCTGGTAAGAGTAACGTAACTTTAGTTGAAACACTAAACTGATCAAAAGTGTTTTCCAGTTGAAAGTTTAGACATTTAGACTTGTTCTGATTATTTTAACCAGACATAGGTAAGGCTCATTGTATTGTTTATTATCTTAATTTTTTTTAACCCTTTGCCACTGTAAAAGACCTGGATTTTTTTAAAAGAGCAGATAAATTTGAGTGGATTTTTAATGTTAAACTGTTTGGTTAACGCCTTTCACCATCATTTACCTTCAAAGAGTTTCTATTGCAGCAAGAACTGCTCCAGGGGTAGAATGTAAAGAGAAAATGGAGGGGAAAAAAGTTATTGAATCACCAGATTTCCAAAGAGTTCTTTGTAATTGCCATGCAAGATCCTGAGTGCAACTTTTGGAGAAGATTAGCAGCTGGATCATCCAAATAAGTATGGTTCTTCCTCTGTAGACCATGAATATTGAAAAGAAATCGACCCTCTGGTAATCAATTACCTTGTTGATGACTCATCCAAATGCTGCTGCAAAAGGAAAGTTACTCAAAAAACAGAAAAAATTCACATGGATAATTTCCATAGTAAATGTCATGTATCCATTAGATTTTAAGGGGAAGGAAAGGTTATGGTGTCATTAAAATCATTATGAGGACCATAAATGTTCATGCTAAAATTAATTTGGACAAGAACTGACCAATTGGATAAAAATGTTACAGTGATTTCTGCTACGTTTTAAACTTATTTACTAAAGCACAAATCACAGAACCAAAGTCTTCATGTTAAAGCAAACCAACCAACTGAGATCACCATCCTTGGGCTCCATCACTAGCAGAGCACAAACTTACCACAACCCCTCTAATGCTGAGACACCACACACAGGCTTGGTGCTTGACTACATTAATTTATAATACATATTTCATGTCTCATGCATTGGCTGTGGCTGAAAGTCTTGTATTTATTTTTTTTAAGTGCTTGCTAGAAGCAAAGGGCAGGTACCATGCTGGTTAGCTGTCTGTAAAAAGCTACACAATCCAGTTTGACCATTGTTTCAACCACAAAGGTTAATGCTCTTCCTGTTAGGGAGCAGGTGCCTTGGCAGGGCACAAAGACAATAACAATACATGGACAACACTGTGTTAGGGTAAGTTAGGGTTAGCTCCTGTTGAGGTTTCAGCCCCACAAACACACTCACTGTTTTACTGCTTTGGGTTTCCTCCTCAGATGACCACAGCAGGGTGAAGCTGAGGCCACTGGCTGGGAAGGACTCCAAACACACTGACTACATCAATGCCAACTATGTGGATGTGAGTGCTTCTGCTGGGACATCTCAAGTACTGTGTCTGTGTGTTTGTATAATAAGGACATCTCATTCATGAGATGATGACTGCAAGAACAAATACAAAACAATAAAGAATCAAGAGATATATCTTAGATATAATAGTATAATAGTTTCTCAAGTTTTTGAAGACATTTTGATTGTTATCATTCCATTTCTATTTTTAAGTGCCAAACTAATACTGTGTCTCTTTGTCATGCATCCATTAGGGTTATAATAAGCCTAAAGCCTACATCGCAGCCCAGGGACCTCTCAAGTCCACTTTTGAAGACTTTTGGCGGATGGTGTGGGAGCAAAATGTTGGCATCATTGTCATGATCACCAACTTAGTGGAGAAAGGCCGGGTATGTTCTGACACGCACACAATCTTAATGTAGACATTTATGGCAAGGTTCATAAATGTTTCCTAGCTTGTTCTAAAGTAACTCAAAAAAAAAACTCAATGACCGTTAATTAGAAATTCTAGTTCTGCTTAGGATAACATAGTTAGGCCTACTACATTTCAGCAATAGCTGTTTCTTATAGCAGACATTTTCAATTGTCAAACACGGTGTTACTAATTAAATCAATAATGTAAAAATGTAATTAGGTGAGCCAGTTCCAGGGCCCTGGTATTGTGCTGGCTCACTGGCATTGCCAAGCCATCAGTAAAGTCATTAGTTCCACTTGTGCTTTTCCTGCTGTGTGTCTGTCCACCTGTAGCGACCTGGTGCTAGAGCTGATCAGCTGATCATATGTCAGTGCTTACCTGGACGTGCCAGCCTGACTGTGCCAGATGGTTTGATACAACAGAAACATCTGGGAAGCCTTTATAAACTGTTTGGAAAAGGGCAGGCACAAAAATACTCTTTTTCATCGAAAGACCTTCAGTGCCGATCTTTGGTCTTCTTTTAATGAAGAAATACTCTACAGTTCTTATCGTATCTGATGCTAGCAGCATCTATGCTAACTGCTATGGGAGACACAAATTGGTACCACTGTACTGGCCAATCACCAAACATATTTACTTTATTGGTACCTTTTTTTACTGTGTTTGGCTTGGAAAAAAACATCTCACCACAGAAACAATATAGGTATTTGATCTGTTTCATGGGAAAAGTAATGAATTGACTGAAGTTTCCTGTTTTAACACATACTCATAAAATTGACACGTCTTACACCCTCCACAATATGTTGACAGAAACTGAATCTAATTGATGTATGTGTGTGTTTCTGTTCTATAGAGAAAATGTGACCAGTACTGGCCAACAGAGAACAGTGAGGAGTACGGCAACATGTTGGTCACGCTGAAAAGCACTAAAGTTCATGCCTGCTACACTGTTCGCCACTTTACACTGCGCAACACTAAAGTCAAAAAGGTGAAAATTACAGTCTGGAGTTCTAGTCTCACAATATTTCTGATACGTAGCAGGACCACAGCAGCGCAGCTATCATCGACTGTGTATGGAACTTAGAAGTTAATGTAAATTGTCACTTGATGCTTTCAAAGCCTTCTTTGTGTTTTTATATTTCTCCAACTCAACAAACATCTCTTCCTTCTCTACTTTCCTTCCTATCCTCTATTCAGGGTGGGAAGGGGAACCCTAAGGCACGGGCCCAGAGTGAACGGATGGTGCTCCAATATCATTACACCCAGTGGCCTGACATGGGTGTTCCCGAGTACACCCTGCCTGTCCTCACCTTCGTCCGAAGGTCCGCAGCCGCCCAGATGCCTGACATGGGACCCATGCTCGTCCATTGCAGGTAATGTCTCTACACTGCTAACATCCTTCATCAGTCTGTTCCCCGTTTATCTTTCACCTAGATTAATTAGACTGTGTTGTCATACATACATATACATACTAAAACTGTTTTGTTTTTACACACTTATGTCACTGACAGCTGACACATTATGTACGTCCTTTTAATTTAACCAGAAAACACTTGGGGCCAGGTGGTGGAGAAAATGTTTGATTTCTAGCTAAACTTATAAATCCATTGGCAGATCTTTCTTTGGATCTTTTTGGATTATTGTGAAACAAAGACATCAATTTAATCTTTTGTATGTTTGTGAAGAATGCACTTCTTCACAAACAAATGCAAACATGCTTCAATCCTTCAAATCAACATATAGCTGTTAACTTAATACCTAAACCTTTGTGTTTTTCCACACTTATAGTTGCATATCTAAGCAGCATCTGTGAGCCTGCAGTCACAGTTGCCAGCTTGTATTTGAAGGCATTTTACAGTAAGGCTGGTGGGAGAAATTACTGGTAATTGTCTGCTGACTGTGGCCCCGGGGGGAATGAGTATGAAGCTCTCTGCTATCATTTGCACTGTGATGGTCGATTATAACTCGTCACACTGCCTCACTGCCGTTTGCTGCAAACACACCACTCATTACTCTGATTTTGTAGCGGAGCATAGACACACAGACGTCCTCATGTTCATGTTAGGCCGCCATGTTGAACCGCTATCTTTGTACAGTAGCCCAGAAGGGACAAACCAAAGCCATTCGCATTTTCCGCACGTACTATAGTTTCTCCACAATGGTGGGAAAAGGAGGGTGAAACGAGTAAGTTCCAATCTGCATCACTAGAAGCCCCTAAATCCTACACACTGGACCTTTGAAGGCACATCATAAAAAAAAGCCATTTAAGGTGATGACCATGTATGCAATGTGTATGTCTAATACCCACATTTCCTGACAACTTTCTCCTGTCACTTCTCAAAAAAGAATAATTAAACATACATTTTAATGCTTATTTCCGACATAATGTAATTTCCCTCATATTTTATTTCTTTGGCTTTTCCTGCTGTTCCTCATTGTCACTGTGTTGTGTTGCAGTGCTGGAGTGGGTCGGACAGGGACGTACATCGTCATAGACAGCATGCTGCAGCAGATCACAGACAAGAGCACAGTTAATGTACTTGGCTTCCTCAAACACATACGCACCCAGCGCAACTACCTAGTCCAGACTGAGGTTTGTATGTCTGTGTCTGTGTGTGAACCAGATGTTTGTGGGCAGTCTAACTCATGTGCCTCATTGTTTCCTCCACTAGGTTTAGCATAAACATATTTTTCTGCTAGCTGGTACCCCATTTAGACATACACAGTGAAGTGCATCAAACCTAAACATCTTTATTGGTCAATATACCCAATCCAACAGCATCTATTCCCAATTTATGGAATTTGAACACTGTTTATGGACCCCAGTATGCAGAGATTTTCAAATACACAAGGTGAAAATAAAACATTTACACCACATGCAAAAAAATATGTGGTTATTTCCTCAAACTGCACAGGTTTAGCATTGGTAAGTATGTCTGCAAAAAGGAGACTTGTAGGTACTAGAACCCATTTTAATTCACATATCTTGAGGTCAGAGGTCAAGGGACCACTTTAAAAATGGCCATTGGGGCCCGTACCCAATTTAACAGTGTTTAGGGTTACTAGCTAGTGGGAGGTCTGCTGCCAGAGCCATGTAGAGAGTGAGTTGGCGTAATGATGTGTCGTACTGGAGTTTCAGTCCCCAACCTTACCTAAAAGTCATTCCTCTGGGGATCACAAATATCCACAGTCAGCAGTTGTGGAGACAATATATTGTCCTGTTTTGATGTTATGATCGACCATCAGAAGAGTTTTTTCACAAAAAAGTTATGGTGTTAATTATCTGTCTCCTCTGGCAGCAGCTGTGAAGCTTATCTGTTAAGTCTTTTTTCCTGTGGAAATAACTGACAGACATTCAGCCTGCTTCAAATATCCTTCATTGCTTCAAACCAAACTGCATCTTTTTGGAAGGGTGTATGCTCAGAATGTGTGTGTCTATGTGTGGTTATACTGATACAGCATTTTACTTGACACTGGTGCTGATTTCTCGGATGCTGCAAAGCAGATTTCAAGTCATAAGAAAAAGCCAAAATGTTGTTATAACCAATCCTTAATCTTATTGCAGAATATCAGTTTCAATGTAGATCTATGGGTTAGGCACTTGAAAAACAAGATTATACATATAAGTCCACCTGTACTGCCGTACTAGCTGCTAAGCACAATATTTCTTCTTCACTTTTTTTGGCTGATCCAGGAGCAGTACATCTTCATCCACGATGCCTTGATGGAAGCCATTTTGGGGAAGGAGACAGAAGTAGCGGCGAGCCAACTTCACAGCTACTTTAACAGCATCGTGACATCAGGACACGGCGGCCGGACATGTCTGGAGAAACAGTTCAAGGTGAAGGGATTGATGAAATTTGTTATTCATTTCACATTAACACATTTAGCATAAATATCACAACATAAAATAACGTGAAGTGTCTGGTCATTAGTCATATCTTGCTGAAGATGAGAATGGCCGCGCTTGCATCTTGATCTCTTTATTTCTCATAAGGGATTAATTTATGTCAAAAACAAAAGGCCAATTTCTCGAGGTATCTCAGGATAAAACTTTTGTTGTCTTGTGATAATTATTGATAACTATAAAATGAGCGTCTGGTTCATTCAGTTGCAGCTGGGCTAGTTTTCTCCTTAAATGACAGGGACTGAGCTGAATATTCTCTCTAACGGAAAGACACAATGCAGTTTCCAGTTAGTTAGACCTCGACTGAAGTACAGCCTGATCAGACATTTTTAACTGGCATGGCACTCCAGACTTCTGAAAAACATTATAAATAATAAGACAAAACAATATCTTGTTTTCTTGAGATAAAAACGGTTTATAATATGATATCAAGATTAAAAAGCTTGTTTTCTTGAGATAACAAAATAATCAATAATTGCAGAAATTATAATTGCAAGGACGGACTTTCTCAGCTTCAGTAATATCTGGTTAGATTACTAGCTGATTGACCCTAGCTTTAAGAACCTTGATCATCTCCCTCCTTTTACTGTATATGCTATGTGCTAGGCTCTCTATGTAGAAAGGAAAACCATATTTTGAAGATGGTTAAAAGATAAAAGTCACATATAGCCTGTAGTCACATACACATAAAGCCTATAGTGATATCTTAGCTTAGCTAGCTAAAGTTAGCAAAAGACTAGCTAATCTATGATGTGACTATAGGCTATACACCAATCAGCCATAATATTGTGAGCACTGACAGGTGAAGTGAATAACACTGATTATCTGATTATCATCTGATCCATGGCTCCTTCGCTGGGTGGGATATATAGCAACAGGACATTTTGTCCTCAAAGAGTTTGAGTGTTAGAACAGGAAAAATGGCATGGAGGATTTGAGCCCACTTTGCAGGGCCACATTGTGAGGCTATGACGGGTCAGAGCAGTCTCCCAAGACTGCAGCTCTTGTGGGTCTGCCAGTGGTCAGTACCTTATTCAAAAGGTGGTCCAAGAGGAAAAGCGAGTGACGTAGACAGGGTCTACAGGCAACCAAGGCTCATTTTGATGCAACGTGGTGATGAGGCTGGCCGGTGGCGAGCTACGTCGCTCAAACTGCTGAAACAGTTTATGCTGGTTCTGATAGAAAGGTGTCAGAACACACAGTGCATCACAGTTTGTTGGTATGGGGCTGCAGAACATTATGACCACCAGGGTGCCCAGGTCGGGCCACAAGGTGCAGGACCTAGGAATTGGTATTTATTGGTTTATTAGCTGGATTAGCTTACTATTATTTGCTTGTTTGCCTTTATTGAGCCAATACAGTTTTTAATACATTGAAGAACTGGGATCAAAAGCTGTCTAATATCAAAACTCAGATTAAAGCTAACCCTAACCCTGTTCTCCAGACTTAAGACTAAAACATGTTTGTCACGTCATCGTGATTTTAATAGTTTTTTCAGTAAAAATGAAAATTGTGATGATGATCATTCCCACTAAAGGTAAATAATATCACAATGACAATATCAGTGTCAAAATAATCACAATATGAGGTTTTTACCATATTGTGCAGCCCTATTGTCTTCCATTCAGCCATGCTTTATATTGGTTGTGGTTGTGTAGCAGAAACCTGTTATTTCATAATTTTATAATAATATTTTTTTATGATCACATGGGGTGGCTGTGGAAGGAAGAGCGGGTCGTCCTCTTATCGGAAGGTTGTTGGTTCGATCCCCGGCTCCTCCTGCCTGTGTATGAATGTGTTAGTTTCTGTTCGATGGGCTTTGCCATCATTGAGTGAATGTGTGTGAAAGGGTGAATGTGTCGAAGTATCCCTGAACCCCAAAGTTGCCCTGATGCCAGGTGGATCGGTGTGGTGAAGGTGTTATCGAATGAGTTAGTTTCTGTCGATGGACTTTGCCCAATCGCTGTGTGAAAGGGTGAGGGGTCGGAAGACTAGAAAGGGGCTATACAAGTACAGTCCTTTTACCATTTACCACAATATGCTGTAATTGAGTCCAAGGTCTAGACTTTTGCTGTATCTGTGCAAAAAAATAGCTTTCTTTGTTATGGTAATGAATTTATGTCTTTATGGCAGGATTAGAATTGAGTCATTGTTTATGGCTCTTTGTTTTTCCTCTGGTCTTTCCCAACTTCTTTGAGCCAGTTTGTTTTTTCATTCTTAGCATTTTCTATTTTGAGCTTCTTTCTGTTTTACTTTCAGCTTTATTACAGAACTCCATATTTATTGAAGTATTTTGAAGAATTGTTTGCTTGTATGTTTACCAATACTATTCAATGAAAGTCTTAAAGACACACAGAGGAAGTGCACCTCATTCTTAAAAATAGCAGTACTGGAGAAGTGTATTTTTGTACAGGGGTGGCTGTGGCTCAGAGGTAGAGCAAGTCCTCCACTAATCGGAGGGTTTTTGGTTTGATCCCCGGCTCCTCCCCTGCATGTCGAGGTACCATTGAGCAAGATACTGAACCGCAAATTGTGAATGAGGTAGTTTCTGTTCGATGGAGTTTTCCATCACTGTGTGAAAGGGGGAATGTGGCATGTAGTTTAAAAAGTGCTTTGACTGGTCAAAATACTTGAAAGGTGCTATATAAGTACAGGTCCGTTTACAATGCTGACATTTTCTGGTACATTTTACCATAAAAGTCACAGATACACACATAATAGGCCCTCATGCAAAGTAGATTTTGATTACAGTTTTGA